CTTATGTGCTTAAATTTTCCAAAATCTCTCTGAAAAATTGGGACTTTTTGCCTGTCTCCGGTCTTTTAGCCCTCTTTCAAGCGCCATAACTGCATAAAGATTGTCACTCTGCGAGCGTGGGTGACGGGGTTCCGTACCATAGCGAGCAAAGGGCTCACGCTCAGGTTGAGGCAACTGAAGGGCCCTCCTTTCCTAAGCACACCCGCTGGGGTCCTCCCCAAGCTCACTCCTCCCAACAACACAGGGCCCCAGGGGCTGTTCTCTGTCCCCAGTTATGCGCCCAAAGTTGTAAGCCTACTCTTCCTTCTCATTCTTGCCCTGGGAATACATAAAAGACATTTATTGTCTTGAGTATTTTCCACCAGCCTCAGCACATTCTGGCCACTGGACTTCCTGACACTCCTCTTCAGGGGTCAGGCCACTCCTGAATCTGCCTTCGGCGACACGCACCCCCTTTCCACATACGGAGCGTGGCCTTCCACCATCTGCGCTCACTGAACAGAGCTCACGTAGCCACACAGACGGCTCAGTTCTCCCTGAGTCCCACCACCTCCCTCCTTGGGGCACCATTCAGGGCTGTACTGTCAGCATTTCCTTTTTAGAGAGCAGTCTTATCCCTCCTGCTAACTTCCCTTTTAGAGTCTGTGGCCATGGGGTTAAAAACCGTTTGCATTTGAAAAACAATTTCTAAAGTCTGTGGCAAATGCCTGTTCTTGCCCAGCCTTCACTCTGGCTTCCCAAACGCTAAGATGGGGTTCCTTTCTCTATGAAGGATCTGATCGCCTCTCTTCTACCATTTCTCCCTTTGCTGGTGCAAACTGGTACCAGCCTGAAAGCACCCCTCCTCACAGCCTCTGTCTTCAGAAACACAGAACTACCGACAGGCGAGGCAAGAATTCATAGGTATTCTGATACTGTGGAGGGATCCCCAATTCTGAGGTATCTTGTCTCAAAACTGGCAGAGAGAGCCACTGAATCCACCTGGCTGAGGGCTAGACAGTGTGCTCACGCTATGTATATATATTCCCATTTCTCTTCATTTTTCACCCACAATGTTCTCAGTCAAGCTTCCCACCTTACACGTATGTTTTTGTAAGCAGGATTTGTTTGTTTTTTTCCATTAAGAGTTATTCTCCTACCCTTCCTATCAGGTGTTTACTGCCTTCACCCACGAGCAACTTCTCAGTCAGGCCCAAGACCTCAGCAGCGCCTGGCCCCTGGGTGTCTAGCCTCCTCCCCCAGCAGAGAGGCTGCAAACTCCTCCTTCCTTCTGCCTGGCTCCATGGTTCTTCTGTGAGCAAGCTAGAAGATGTCTTGAGATAAACATTTAATTTTTATTATATCTCTACAATTACGACTCAGAGACTAATACACAATTGTTAATGCATGAAGATACCACACTGTCTCTGTTTCTTTCACCCATCGCCATCCCTCAGAGTTGGGATTCACTCCCAGGCATCTTCTCTAGGTGTTCTAGAAATGTTTTGTCACTGTCTATTGATTACCTACTATGTGCCAGACATTATGCATATTTTAATCTCCATTAATCCTCACAACAACCCCGCAGAGAAGGGTCACTCCATCTGACAAATGAGAAACAGATGCTCCATCTGACAAATGAGAAACTGGGTGGCTCAGTCAGTTAAGTGTCGACTCTTGATCTCAACTCAGATCTTGATCTCACAGTTTTGAGTTCAAGCCCTGCATTGGGCTCCATGCTGGGCATGGAGTGTACTTAAAAAGAAAAAAAAAAAAAAAAGGAGAGAACGAGAGAAAGAGAAACCAATGCTCAAGACAGTAAGCAGTCCAGTGCTTGCTTTGGGGTCTGAGGCCTACTTTGTCTCCACACCCACCAAACCCTACTTTTCTAATTAGGCATCTCCGTTGTGCTACAAGTCACCACTCAGGTAAAAAGAATGTGAAGACTAACAGCTTCAGACATCAACCTAGGATCGAAATCCTTCCTGCCATTAGGAAGGAAGACCACAGTCCAGGAATGAACCACATCAAGGTGGATGGCCTCACTTTCAGTCCCAGAGAGGCAGTCACCTGGCTCTGGCGGGAGGGCCCGTCCCTGGGAGCTATCTCTAGTCTTAAAATGCTGAACTTCTTCTCTGAGTGAAGGGGCTCCACGGCACCTCCCCCTCCACAAACACACACACACACACACACACACACACAGCAAAAAAGAGTGAGGAGTAGGGAAGAAAGACGGGAAACCCAAGATAACGTTCCCCGCTTACAGAATGATACAAGGCAGCTGTCAGCAGACAACTCAAAGGAGGCAGGGGGAGGTGGAGACGGGTAGAAGGAAAAGGTGCCTAGAAGAAGAAATGCCAGGGAGCAGGGATACAAGGAGACGAACTGGTTCTCAAGAGACTCCTGGATGCTGGGTCTTGCCCCACCTGAAGAATCAGGACCCAACTCTAAAGTTCTATTCCTGAGCCAAAACCAAAAACCACCCTCAGATGCCAGTAACATGTCTCCCCCTTTCCCAACCTCCCCAGTCCCAGGACACATTCCCTCTGCTACAAGGCTGCTCACATCTGATGCATAAGGTCCCAGCAGTGCCGCTGGGGCTGGTAAATGCTGGGCTGGCTCTCGGGCTCCATCACTCAAGCGGAGCCTCTCGGGGCGTTTCTCAGCTCCGTGATCGCGTGAGAGATGCATTCATTAAATGCAGCGTGGCCTGGACAGTGGTTCCCATGCTTTCAGCTTTCACAAACCAATTTAAAAAAAAAGTCGTAGATCTAGAGCTAGTAGCTACCATCTTGTATTTTACCAAGTAAAGACTTTTTTAAAAAAATAGATCTACTTTCTACCAGCACCTTCATTTCGTAAAAGAAAGCACCTTTTGAACATCAAATAGAAAGGACCTATCCTTAAAACAGGTCAAAAAAAGTTAGCTCACTCCACTGTCCCCTTTCCATTGTTTCTCTAGAAACTGGGAAAACTGTTGTAGGCCAGCATTGGTCTACACGCCAGTATGCGGACCTTCTGTCCTGGGACACCTCGGGCCACCAGCCATAGACCCTGGGGGCCTAGAGGGACAGCTGGCCATGGCGACGTCCCCAGGGATACAGATCTCTCAGCAGGGCTGTCTGTAAGCCTCAGCCAAGCCAGATCCCTGTATCTTACCCATGATCACCGGGCAGCCCAGGCCGGCAGCTTATGCACAAGGAAAACAGGACCCTGGCCTCATTCTCTGCCCCTTTCACTCAGGTAGGCCGCACTGGTGCCGCTCTAAGAAAAGCTCAAACACGGTTCACCAGGGCCGCTGGTTCCAGGAACATCCAGCTTAGAAAGATCAACCCCCCTACTCAGGTTTGATCACGGGAGAAGCGGAGTGAAACATAAGGGGTGGGAGGCGGCGGGGTGGGGCGGTGAATGCCTGAAGGAAGCAAGCAATGGAACCAAGCTTTAAAAGTAGACTGAGCAGGTCTTCCTTACACCAAAACACCAATCTCATGCCCAGGAGTGAAGCCTACCCCTGCTCTTTTCCCTGCTTTCAGAAATGACCCACAGGGCCCTGGGCCAGCAGGATGCCAACTCCCCACAACACCAGCAACACACAGGGGCTGAACACTGTCTCCCAGGCTGGGGTGGGGAGCTGCCTGCTTTAACCAGAGACCGGGGAAATAGAGCACAGTCTGTGGTCCTGGGCCATGACATGCAGCTTCCACAGGGAGTGGACAAGAGAAGGTGAAAAGGAGTAAAAAACACCCCAGCAACACCCACTTCCCTGCCCCCAACACTTGGAGCTTTCTTCCCAGCCACGGGACCACAGCCCCACCAAGCTCACGGCACAGCTGGGCGCTCAGCGGTCAGGGAAATCCCGAGCGCCAGCCGCCAGCCCATGGAAGCCACAGGTGCCCTAGCCCTCAGAAGCGCAGCAGCTCCCAGCCCAGCTGGAAAGGGCTTCAAAGGCCATCAAGCACAACCCCTCCATTTCCCCGGGGAGAAGACAGGCCCGGAGAGGGGGCCCGAGGCGCCTGAGCCCTTGGACAAATCAGTAGCAGAGCAGAGGAGCCCCGCAGACCGCGCAGGCCGCCGGCTCTGTCCAGCGCCAGTTCCGCTGCCTGCAGCGACCTCAGCTGCTCCACGCTCCTCCAGAGCTGCTCAGCTTCGCTCGTCCCTACTTCTGCCAACTCTCCGCTATCCAGGCTGCCGCCAACCTCGTGCTGGCAGCCGGCCACCAGAAGAGAAGGGAAAGATGGCCAGTGCAGGGTCACTACCTCTCCACCTCCCCCTTTCAGCTCATCCCCGCTCCTCCTTTCCTCCCTCCATCCCCCTATTCCAAATAAAGGGAGTACTCTTTCCTGGGCTTGACAGTGTCTCGAAAGCACATCATTCATTCATTCATTCATTCAGTTAGTCTCTGAGTGCCAACTACACGTCAAGGAACTGAGCCAGGTCCTGAGAACACAGGAGATAAGGAAAAGTCTTTGACCTCCAGAAGTACCTCAGTCCAGGAGGGGAACCCAAATCGTGGGTTGTCATCAAATTCCCAGTTCCAACTGGCGCTCCTGCTGTCTTTCTGAGAAGAATGATGGTGCCCAAGAAAAGGCTTAGGAAAAGACACATCCCATTCCATCAGGGCAGCATAAAACCGCCCTGTCACCCCAAATCTTTCTTTCCAAATCCCTCAGTCTCCACCCCTTACTTGACACCATCACTCCCCCACGTCACCCAAGCATTGGTGTGACCCGGAAGTACATCCGAGGCTTCACGCAGGACAAAAAACTTCTAGAAATAAGGCTGGATGCGTCAAACGCAAACATCGGAGATGAGCGTGCTAGCCGGAGACCCCTGCTACCCGGTTTCTCTCTTACCAACTGTCAGCCCGGCAAAGGAGAGCAAGCCAGCTCCGACCCATGGCCCCATTCAGAGTTAGACCGAAAGGATGAGAATGGAAGAACGGGCCCAACGGCGTCTGCAAGACCCTGAGAGTACATCACCTTCGTGGAAAGGGCAGGGCAGCCAAGCAAGGGCCAGCTTACCTCCTTGAGAAGCCCCACTTTCTTCTTCAGCACCTCGCACTTGCGCAGCTTGCAGATCTGGTGTGTGCGGCGGTTGGTGCAGCTGGTGCAGGCCCCACAGTTTTCCAGCCGCCGGCAGGGCTCACAGGTACCACACCGTTTTCGTTTCTTTCGCCCATCTCCACCCCCTCGGAGTTGGGGTTCGCTCCCAGCCATCGGGAGCCCAGGCCCCTGGAAACCCCCTACCATCACCTGGCCCTGAGGGAAGTCATAAAGGCCTGGCAGGTCCGGCTGGACCGCCAGCGGCACCTGAAACTGGCTCATGATGCTGCCAGAGGTAGGGGCATAGGTGCCGGAGGAGAGCCACGGTCCAGCTTCCCGCCTGCCTGCCAAGGCCCCCACCAGGTCCTTCTTTCCTAGAACAGTCAAGAGTGCACAAGGGTGAAGGCAAGTAGCTCCAGTCTCCAGGACAGGCGCCTCTTCACCTCCTCTGCAGCAGTCTGATAGGGCTCAGTTGGGGGCCACTCTCCCATCTGCTGGGGCCCAGGATCTGGGGCAGGACACCAGCAGCGGTCCCCAGAGAAAGGATCATCTTGGCTGGGTGGGTTCTTCACCCTCACCCACCCTGGACCCAGGCATGAGGTGAGCAGGTGGGTGTGTGGTGGGGGCTGGGCAGGGTGAGGAGTTTCTCCTGGTACTTGTCCTCCGGGGGCAGGATGATGGAGGAGGCAGCGCTGCCTAAAACAGAGACAGAAAGGGGAAGCGCATCACTCGAAGCTCAGGGACAACTTTCACATGTTACCTCTTCCTGCTTCTGGAAAAAGAGAAAATGGGGGAAGAGAAAGGGCTTGCTCAAACAAAGTCCTGCCCGAACCTCTGGCAGGGGCGCACCAGCACCCCCCCTCCCCGCCTGCGGGAGGAGGCCTAGCGCCCGATGGGGGTGCTGAGGGAACCTGCCCGACAAATTTAAAGGGGTGATCAAGGTGAGATTTCTAAGAAAGTTGTCCTCTGCCCCACCCCCACGGGCTTGGGAGAGTTTCACCAAAATTCCCACACACACCCCTCACTGGAGGTCGCTGGGCCCTCCCCGAGGGCGCAGAGCTTTCAAAATAAAGTTTGCTGAGAGCTTCACTCGGCGGGGCTGCCCGAGCGCCCCCGGCACGGAAGCGGCCTGGACGGGGGCGCGCCCG